GACAGATTCAGTATTCATAGGCTACAGAAGTGATTTCTTACCCATGTCCGTCCAGTGCAATAAAGAAACAAATCCTTGCAAAGAAAAATTGAGAAAGCTGAATCAATGATTATTGGAAGATAAGTTCCTATGAGGAAGTAGATGAAATATTTTTCAAATTTATTATATGCCATGATTAAAAAATTAATTGGTACCAAATGTCTGTGCATTATTTTTCATTTCTGCAACATCTTACTTAGAAAACGGTAAAAGAAGTCTACCTGAGCATCTTAGTTGATGGAAACTTTTGTAATTCTGGTTGCACTCAGTTCTTTGATCATATACTAATAAATCAGAAAACAAACAGCAACTGTTATTATGTACTACGGCTATAGAAAAGAACAACGTAGGAGTTTGCCTGTTATGTATTCCTGTGTGCTTTCCATTCATTCTGTACATTAATCCAAGCGTTGTCCGTTCTCCAGCAGCCTCTCTGAAGAGCTGTGTTTTACTCTGTGCTCCCAAACCCCATGTACGTGTGAACTATTTTGCAGAAAGAAGATGTGACCCCAGAGTACTCCTGCTTGTAGTAGTCAGGAAGCTGGCAAGCCTGAAGAGCAGAACATGTGTGCACCTCCGCTGCTGTTCAGTTCTCTGAAATTGAAACCAGGCTTATTGACATAAAGGGGGTTGAGGAGCATCTGTAAGTTGGTGGGTTTGGGTCAGTTGATACTGGATTTGGCTGCAGCAGAAAAGCCTGTGGGATTCCAGGTGAATCAAGTTTCCTGGAAACTGAGGTGTATGTTGAAAGTTAGTTTTGAGATTATTTATCTGAATGTAAAAGAGTATATGACACCAACTGGGGACTTACAGTAGTAGACATAGGTGACATAGGCTGTAGTTTTAAGTCTACTGAAATTTAGATTTTCTTGGCCGCTGCGATCTGCTTGAATGCTCCAACTGGTGTGTGAGTAACTTGATGCCTTATGCACACAGGGGCAAGAGAGAAATCTGTGAGAGTATCCAGAAGTGTTTGCTATTAGATCTGAGTACCTTGATGGTCTTGAGAAAAATGTGTCCTGAAATTATTCCCCTGAATACAAGGGGAGCAGTCATTGCTAATTTAACTCTTAGAGCTAAGTGTTCATAAAAACGGCATGACTGTTTTTGTAGCTGTGGATGAACTCTGGCGTGGTAAAGCTGTAAGACCATTGGCAGTCGCAGAACAGAAGGAGAATTAGAAGCCTCTCCGTACTGTTCTGGGGACAGATGCTGACTGGACCGCGACGTTGGCAGGTTCCCCTACCTCTTTTATACCTGCTTCATCATCTATAAACTGCGACTTACTGTTTTCTTATGGGCTCTGTCACTGGTGTCTCTTGCTGTATAAACTGGAAGAGGTTAGGGAAGCAAATACACTGGTAATGCTCACAGGGAGTCTGATTGCTGTGAGCTGTCTGAAGAAGAGCAGATCCACTATGAAGGGAAAGCGCTTTCCCTTTACCCCGTATGGATATTGCTGGCCATAACAGGTATGGCTTTGTGGACTTGAAAGCAGGACTATAAGTGGTGTTTTTCAGACAAAGAGGTGTGTGTGGATCACAGAAAGTGGGGAGTAAGACTTTTTAAAGGAGGTATGTATCATACTTAAGTGCATTGAAATGATGACGTGTTATAAATTGTTTATGACCAGACTTGGTGTAAGTAAAGGAACTGGTGGTAAAGGTGATACTTTTGGCAGCTAATTAATTGAGACTTACTGCTGATCAATTTTTCTGCTTGTCCTGTTGAGAAGGTACAGCTGCCTTGATACAGCTGTGATCGGTAGATTGCTTGCTGCAGACGTGTCTGGTTTTGCCCTTGGTGTTAAGGACAGAGATAATGTGTGAATTTACCCACTATCATATAACCATACCAGTGTTGGCTCTCTTACCTTATTGACTGGGGCTTCACTGGCAAGATCTTGGATCAGCCCGCTACAAAATTGAGTATGGCCCAAAGCTAAAAGAGTTGATCGGTTGAATGTGATTTAGCTCCCTTTGTGAGCATACTTGCATTCAGCTCTTAAATTTAGTCCTTGACTCAGTGTCCATAAAATGGCAAGTAAAGGCTGTTGGTGGAGAAGAGGTATAGCATACAACTAATAGAAGATACAACAGGCAGGCAAAACGAGAGTGACACCTGAAGTCACAGGTTGAAGGGTAAAAGAGGAAGGCGTTTAAAGCCTAACTCTTAAAAGTGATTTAAGAATAGATACAACAATTACCTTACAAAGCTGTGAGAGTTATTGCACAGCTTTCTTAGGTAGGGAATGAGGATGTCTGTGTTTTGGTTTTTTTTGGGAGGGGAGGGAAAAGAGGGGTCTAATTTCTTTGCTTTTCCTACCCCCGTCCTTCCTTGCTTTGTGAAAGAGTAGAGCTTTAATTTCAGCTCCTGCATGTATCTCTCTGTGGGTGGATTCTTGCACCTCCAAAACCTCCTTGCAGGGGGCTTGTTGAACCAGGATATGGCATTACTGCTTAGTGGCCTTTTGTACGGTATGCTGAAGCATATTCTGTATAATGCTAAATATACTGACCCCCTCCTGCCCTCCCCTTGCTGAAAGAAACTGCAAATGCTAAAACAAGGACAGTTAGAACTGTGCATCGCACTGAAAGGTTAAAGTTACAAATACGTCAACTAGGATTTCAAGGTTAAAATTCTTTTCTACCTCATTTTGGTCATCTCGTGGTCTTAATGTATGCTAAAATGCATTTGGTACCCCAAAATGAGAGGGATGGCTGATGCTGTCTGCATTATGCCTAACCAGCACTAGTTGAAACAGAGGCCTAAAAGAAAGGAGAACAACTTCTCCCTACCCCAAAAAAAACCTCCAGAAATTTTCCTCATATTTTCTGAATGCTGTTTTGTGTGCAGATACAAAGGGAGTATTTTGAAGAAACAGAAGAAAATATTGACCAAGTCAAAGTTCTGTATTGAAGAATGGATTAAATAAATGTTTGTGAGGCGTAAGAACCAAACAACAAAAATATTTTTCTTTCCAGAAACATTCCATCCTATTTTGATCATCAGCAATAAAGCTGAAAACAACAATGGAGCTATTGAATCTGGAATGCCAATTGTTATCCAAGAAAAATGACAGTTTAACAAAGTAATCTAAATGTCTTTGTAATTAAAATACTTTTTTTTTTATTTGGAATGTTTGAATTCCAAACGTGCTCTAAACTCAAAGGTAATTTTTTTAAAACTTAAATTCCAAAAAAAGAGTAAGTTCTATTGTCCGAATACGAATGTATGATAAGTACCTTTCTATTAAAGCTTAGGGAGTTTTAATAGAAACTTCAAGTCTTAATAAAAATTGAATTGCTTCAATTTAACACTGCAGGATAGACACTGAGATGTTTTGTAGGTTCTCGAAATACTGTTATTAAGCTTGACATGCTGGAGAAGATCATGTGTTAGGTGGAATCAAGATTGAATCCCAAAGGTACATCCTTAAACTGTATAATCAGATTCCCATTTCAATGTCACTTTTATCCTTCAAAGAATAGGTGCTTGTTTCAGTGATGATTTGTCATAAAAATTATGTCAAAACGTCTTAAAATGTTGTTGAAACCCTAAACAAACTCACAGCACACACAGGGCTAATTATGGATGCCATCTGTTTATTTTTACAAAGCTTTTTTCTTAAAAAACCAAAGCATCTTCTTGTTCTGATAAGCCACAAGATTATTATAATGACTAAATGTTTTCCTTAATACTAGTGTACTTGAAGGAAGACAGACAAATAGTTTGGTCGCTGACCTTTTCTGTGTCACCAAATGTATATAGTATGACATCTCATGATGGAGAAACTGTTGTGAAGTGCGTTTTCTTAAGGTATTTTGGCCCTTGGAACAAAAACATTTTATAATAAAAATGGCAATTCTGTCGTAATTTCTCTACGGAAAGTCTTAACGACTGTCTCGGTGTGAAGAAGATGCTTTTAGCATGCCTATCTTTTACTTGACTATATGGTGCATCCTCCTATCTTTGGGTGCTTTTTTACTGTACTATGTCTGGTTAAAGGTTTGTGGTTTTTTTTTTTAAAAGTTAATAAACGTGTCCCATTTATATCCCCATTTCAAGGAAGACGTGTGTGTGTATGCATATGCCCGCACATGCGTGCATGCTTGTACGCACATGTGGGGTTAGTGTGACTGACGGGTATTCCCCTGGCAGCGGCATCCGAAGCCGTTAGCAGCAATTTGCTGAGAGCGCAGAGTGACTCTCCTGGTCCAGCCCAGCTATTGTGCATGCTAAGCACTAAACAGATAAGTCTGGAGGGGGGAGAAGAAGAAGAAAAAAAAAAAATAAAAAAATTGAAGGATCCATCTGCTCATTTCTGCTACACTGCGCTGATACAAGATTACGCTAATCTGGTTGCTTGTCAGGACAGGTTAGTGAAAGCAGGCGAATGGGTGAGATTTAGGGTAGGCTAGTTCTATGGAAAATTGTAAGCGGCTCCTGTACGTGCCATGTTAAGTGTAGCAGAATGGGTTGATTATCAGCTACTTTTGAGATTTTTTTTTTTTCAATTAAAATATATTTATGGTTACAGCACAGGTCTTTTCAAAATAAACTCCAACGGGAAAAGCTTCTGAACAAAGAAAAATGAACTCATCATGACCAGGTGCATTTGAATTTGTAAAATAAAGGAAAAAAAACCCAAACAACAAACCCTGCAAATCCCCAAACCCTCCTAGGTGTTCTCTGTGGTTTTCCTTTTGTATGCTGCTCCTAGTTACTGTAATCTGCTAATTAGTTTATTTTTTGGAGTTTCTCTGCAAAGAAGGTGATTGCTGGAGTTTGGCAAGTAGAAATTTTTTGGGGAAGAAGACCAGGATAGGAAGGTGTTCTTTGCTCTTTGACTGGTCTAATTTCTTGTTTATCTGTGTTTGTTTATGGAGAGGTTTTTTGGATTTGTTGTTGTTGTTTGGTTGGTTTTGTTACCTACTGACTGACAGTTCTTGACCTTGCAGGTTGAACATCCCGTCACAGAATGCATTACTGGCCTGGACTTGGTCCAAGAAATGATCCGTGTTGCTAAGGGTTACCCTCTCAGGCACAAACAGGCTGATATTCCCATCAACGGCTGGGCGGTCGAATGTCGAGTTTATGCTGAGGTAAATGAGTGGTAATGGGGAAGGAGGGTAGGTGGTTCAATCGTGGAGTAATAATACCCAGGTGTGGATAGATGCTAAGGTCAAGTCAAGGAATATCATATGAAAGTCACGATTTAGAGTATGTAACAGAAATGGTTAATGAGCTGTTGTAGAATTGTAGAATTTTTATTTTTTGGTTAAAAACACAGTATGTATTTCAACGTAGCTTTTTTCTGAAAATCAAAATTAAAAATGATAAAAGAGGTAATTTAAGGCTTATTTCTGAGGACATTTGCTATATATTCTATTCACATTTAATAATGCAGTGCTGGAGTTACTTGCTACAGTTAACTAGTGTTTCCAGATTTCTTAACTCGTGGTACTTGGAGCTTATTGACTTAAGATAGTTGACATTCAATGGCTTACAGAATTTTTGTTGTTGTACTAAAACATTTTAATAGGTTGTTGAAAAACAAGTTACATACCTTCTGAAACTACAGTTTATAGGACAAACTTTCAAAGTGCATTCTGAAACAATAACTTTATAATTATAGTATGACTCTCTATCTCACCTTAAAGGTTACTAAAATATAAAACCCATTTTCAAGCATGTTTAGGACATTTCAAGGTAGTGCCTTTTTGCTGTCATTTTTGATACATGAAAATCAATATTTGTTAATTAAAAAATGATGCCTAGCTTCATTCTGTTTTAGGAAAGTTTTAAGTAGCTGTGCTTTTCAAAAATAATTTAGCACCCTGAGATGTTTTTTTCCCTCAATTATCTGTTGCAGCTGTTGTGACCCAGGGCATCTTAGATTATGTTGGTTTTTTTTCTTTCTCTGTGACATGTGCATCATCTTCAACTTGCTCTACTGATTACAAGTTATATGAACTGTTTTGATAAAGAATAAATATTTACCCTATGATTGGCGTGGAAGCTGTTCTGAGTATGAGTAGACTTTACCTTGGGGTAACTGATACTTGGACTTTTTTTTTTTATTCAACTTGGATTCCCTCACATTTGTAAGTAAGTAAGGGATCCAACTACTTTGCCATGAGTTTGGTTATTCTATAGGCCATGTATTTATTTGCTGTCCTATTAAGTTTGTATTGGTATTGCTTTATGTAGGAGATTTCCAAAAGCATAAAGGCTAGTTTGATTTCTGAAGATAATTGAATTTCTAACTGCCCTTTTTATCTCAGAAATTTTTTTCCTTATACTCTCTTCTCGATTCCACCCTTCTGAATACTTTCCTGTCCTTCTTTCATGACCCAGTGTAGAAATGAAAATATATACGTTTATATATAGGTACAAAATATACCTCTTTATATATTTTGGTGTACTGTAGCTGTGTGCAGGGCACTTTTTTCCTGATTTGGACTGCGATGCAAGAGATTTTATATGCTTCCAGTTCTTTATTTGGAGTTGCAGGGGTAGGTGGATGAAGAAATGTACTTCAACAGAAGTGATTCTGGGGAAGAAAACAAAGCCATTCCAGCGGTGGTTTCTATTAGACTTTAAGCTTTTTAATATTATCTTCTCTGCATCTATAAAAGCTTAATGCTTTCTCATGTTGAATTTTATTTCAGGACCCCTACAAATCTTTTGGCCTGCCGTCCATCGGTAGACTGTCTCAGTATCAGGAACCAGTGCATGTGCCAAGTGTGAGTAACTCGGGTCTGGTTTGCATAGGTGCTGAGTGTCTCTTTGATAGACAGAGGCTCGAAGTACTCAGCAGCTTCGGAAATCAGGCCTTTTTTCCAGCTTTTTGCCGGGGTGGGACAGGACATGGAAATACTGATGCCACCTGAAAAACTGCTTAAAAATGTACAGTTCCAAACTTGGTTTAAAATGTTCAAATTGGGTGTAACAGGAAACGGTTGTACGTTGAAATTTTTTGTTACGTTGTATGACTTTCAGCTTCAGTTTTTCAAACACAGCTTTAGTAAAAATACCGTGATGATTAGAAAGGACAATGAAACGTTGAGTCAGCTCTTTAAGCACAGAGAACTGGGGACACCAGCAAGAAACTGCCAGTGCTTTCCATTTAGCTTTGTAGGCTTTAAAGAGGAAATTTGTTACGGTGATTGTTACACATTTCAGGATACAGTCAAGCTATAGGGAACAGCTGTTTAACAAAGAGTGTTTTCTGCTACGTGTAAAAAACAAGGACACCACCTTTCTGTAAAATCAGGGTATCTAAGTCAGAAATGCACGTATACGTGACGCTATGTCAGTTAGTGGGATGACGAGGCTGTACCATCTGTGAATACGATTATTCAGTCTGATTGCTTGCACGGAAAATAGTGAAAGATTACAGGAGGAATCTTAAATGTGGAGATGTTATTGGATATATGATTTATTTCGCTTCTTAAATTGTTTTTGCCCATGTACTTTCCAAAGGGAGCTGACCCTTTCTGGTCTTTGAGGCTTCATGCTGTGTTCAAAGCCAGAAAGCAGAAAAAAATTGTGACGATCTAAAAGGCATTGTGTGATCTTAAAGAGGAGATGAGGGGAAAAAGGTATCGTTGGATGTATCTAAACTTTATTTTTTTAATGAAACAAAGAGTGTATTCAGTAAGAATTTATAACAAATTCTCCAGTGGTGGTTAGAAGTTTTCACCATGTTGTAATAGCTAACAGGATGTCAAACATTTTGCCCTTGCAAGTTTTTGCAATTTGCAATTTTCCAAACGTGAGACCTGTTGAAAGTACAAGTGATAATGGACAAACTATACCCCCTACAGTCTTTGTCCCACCAAATCTTTCTTCAATTAATGCTGCAGCAGGAGTTTTATGTAATAACATTTGCGCTTGTGAGCCATCCATACAAAGAAAAAACAATTAAAATGCCTTAAATGTTCTGCTTACTGCTGTTATTTGCTTGTGTGAATGTTGCATGTCAGCTAAATGGACCACAGAATAGATAAAGTGATTGGGTGCAGGAGAGTGCACACTAAGCTTTGTCTATCATTATTGCTGGGAGCAATCAAATTGATGCCAGCAGGACAGTAGATGCGTTGACAGCTGTAATTATGTATCTCCATGGTGATCACTTTTGGCCTGTCATGGAGGCCCAGGAGTCCCCTCCCTTGCAAGCATTTAATCAGATTGGGCTGTCACTTGTCAGGTAGACAGGGCGGGCTGGGAGTTGTGCTTAGGGGGAGAGGTGAATTGAAAATGAAGGGTGGGAGATGCCTGATTGCTTCACGTGGGCCATCGTGGTGCCCAAGAAAGAAATTTTAATTACGCTGGAGGCTTCGGAGCAATGGTTTGAGGAGCTCGTCTGCAGGGTCTAGGCTGTTCTCTTTCTGCTTACTTCTATCGTCGTATTAAAAATAGAACAGCTATTTTTAGGTAGACACTCATGGTTTGGTGTCTTAATACATAATTTCTGCCACTGTGAAACTAATTTCCCCTCTGAGAATGTCATGGCACTAAGAACAAAATCAATGTGACTAAAAAAGTTCAGCGTTACAGGCCCTTTGTGCCACAGCGTGTACTTTCTGCATTTTAGATTTTAGAATTGTCAAGAAGTTGGCTTAAAAAAAATGAGCGGAGACTTGTAGGTGTGTCCCAGCGAGTTTGGCTTATGAGTAGTGTATTGCCACATGCATTCTCAATGCATTTCTTCTGTGTCTCAAGTTAGCTCTGACGGATTCCCCGTCCCTGTGTGTCAGCCGCTCAGACTGGTGGAACTGGTGTGCGTAGCTATGAGGGTTGGTGTTTTTTTTTTCTTAGCCATAGATAGGAATATACTGGCTATTTTTGTGTCATGTAGTCTGTAATTTCCTTAGAACGTGGTCCTCGTAAATACCAAATTTTTTTCATCATTGATAACGAAGCATAAGATAGGTAACCGCAAACCCCCGTATTCTGATAGCGAGTGTTTACGTTCAATGCTCTTACGCGCCACAGCAAATGTACGGCCATATCTGAAGAGCTCCAGCATCGCTCTTCACCAGTATGAGCAGCAGTCTGGTCTTCTAATGACTCTTCCCAGAAAGAGAAAACTCTTTGACTCTGACAAAGAATTGAGAAATGCTGGAACTTGTATATGTTGGGAAGTGGAACTGGACGTACTAATAGTTCATTGCAAGACGGGGACATAGATTGTGCTTTTTTGAATTTTTTTTTTAAACTCTTAAGCTTTGTTTATCTTTCAGTTTACTGTTGTTCTGGTGTAATAACACATAATAATAGTACAACAGCAATAAAAGTGTTGGGACTGTAACACCGACAAGCTGTAGGGTCCAGTAGGGTCTTGGACCTTAGCCCTTCTTTGGTATTTTGAATACTGAGTAAAAGAAAGGAAGTCCATTAAGCAGAAGTCAATGCTGGAGGTCTGGTAAGTATTGCTATTATTTATCAAGTTAAGCACATTATAGCGAGTATCTATTGAATTAGGGTTTCTTTTTCATCCAATATTCATTAAGTTCTGTCACACCATATAGTTTATAAAATCACCTACTGTTACCAGGCTCTGAAAATGTAAGCACCGCAGGGAGAACTGAAGATGGTAAATGTATTTCTTTTCTGCTGTCATTTTTTTAGTCATCTTGGGTTTATTTTATGAAAATTAAACTTCTACAGAGGACTCCAGTTTGGTTTGTTTTTTTTAAATAGGAAATTATGCAGTATTTTTTAAAGAATTTTGAATTCTCACTGCAACTTTATAATTTTTTTTAGGCTTTTGCACTTAGGAAAAAGTGTAAATTGTATAGTGGTATGTATATCTGTTGTATATGAACAGAAACATAAAGCAGGTGGAGCATATAGTCAGTAGCCTCAGAAGCCTTACTTTAACTTTAAGATCTGACTAACCTGCTTACTGTGGGCCTGAATGGTGCACCTTTCGTATGTTTTTTTTTTTTTTCTTTGTTAAAATATGATATACATGTATAAATACTTACGTGCACGTGTATGTGTATGTAAAGCACCCTCAAACACTTTATAGTGCTACTCTGGAGACAAAAGTCACAGTATAATTCAAGTATGCGTGGAGTAGGTATGTCATACCTTCACGTCTTACATATGTATCTATGGAGTATTACAAAAATGTCATGGGCAAGGGTTTTATCTGGGACTGAGCAGGTAAATCGAATTCTTTCTGATTTGAATGTGAGAAGGCAGACATCCTGGGAGAAAGGATGCTTTAGCAGTTACAAGAAGGGGAGCTGGGAAATACGCTGCGTGTTTTTTCTGTAATCATGACATGTCTGAACTACCTTTTCATCAGTAGCTAATGTTAAATGTACCTGATGTGGTAGTGGGGGGCCTAGTTAAGCATAGATAAAGCACATTTGGATAAGGTGCGATAAAAAATGCTACAGAAGTGCTACTGCCTTTACATAGAAATAAATGGACTATACAAATAAACATAAATATATAAGAAATAATATATAAATATACGAATAAGTACATTTTGAAAAAATTAGAAAAGAATATAATGTCATAAAAACTAGTCAGACAGTGTATCCTACCGAAGAAAGTGAGTACACCTGCTAGGGTATCTTTTTATGTCATTTGGATAATAAAGTCATCATCATGCCCTCATGTGGATTCTGTAGACAAGAGGTTCTACATGTGGTCCCTTGATAATTGCCTAAATTAAAATATTAAAGGCCTAACAGCCGTTGCGTTGACCTTTTTCTGCCTTGCTGCAGACAGATGAGCTGCTGTTTATTACAAAGGTTCCTTCCCACAGGTGAAGATTTAAGTGAGATTCCAGGACCCTCTTTCCCACCCCCTTTACAATGCAGCATATCGGAGCCCTGCTGCTTCAACAGCTTTGATTAGAGCCCTCCATTCTCGTGATCCCCAGAATGCGTTTATCACTCTCGAGTTATTTTGATTAGTTTTAAAAAAAATATTTCAGATTCCAGTGCTCCAAAGCAGCAATTTAATAAATATTTATTCCCCAGAAATTGCTCATTTGAAAAGTTTTATATGGCTAACCTCATTGCTACAGTGATGAAATCAAACTGAGAGATGAAAACAAGAATCAGCAATATACTAACTAACTTGCTGGCTGGTTAACAGCAATCAGCCTCTTCAAAAGAAATTTTTGAACTTGCGTTATTTTTTTTCCGTGAATATTGCAGAATCAGAGCTTTAATTGGGGCTGTGTCCTTACAAAGCAAAGCCATGGAAAAAGCTGTGTAAACATAAAAGCCTCAGGGGAAGAGCAGCAACAGAAAAAAAATAAAATGTTTTACAGTCGAGAGGGTGAGGCAGAGAAGGAAAGTGTTACAGACATGAAAACCACGGGCTCAGTATTCCTATGGAGCTGCTAAGCAGAGCTCCAAAGTTCCCGCTGAACGCTCCCTGCTTGTATTCCTCCTGGAACCCTCGGAAGGGCTGGAGCGGAACATAGGGGACGTGATTACCTAGAGCTGCAGAAAGGCTGTGATTATAAGGGACACCTATCATGCCAGGTGTTGGTCAGAAGAATGATTACGGCTGTGGTTTATTACAGGGATTAAATCAGAATTGGATACGTTCAGAGTTGAAGTTTAGAGTGTGTAACACAATCTAAACTTAATGTGTTTACTGTCTAGGGGAACAAAAGAGATTTTTGACTCTCAACTGAAGATCACAGTCGTGCTTCTTTTAAAGGAGAGGATGACTTACAAGTGTTTTTCCCGATGGAGGAAGAAGCTCCCCTTTCTCCCTCCCAGCTTCTCTGAAAACAAATAATTATTCTGGTTCTTCAAGGGGAAAAAAAATGTATGCAATAAGCTTCATGGGTGTTATGTTTTAAGCCTGCCGTGTAGATTTGATCCTCGTGTTGAAATATTTTTTTTTTCCCCCAATATATAATTATTTTTACTTCTTGTCTTTTGAAGGTACGTGTTGATAGCGGCATACAACAAGGAAGTGATATTAGCATTTATTATGATCCTATGATCTCAAAAGTGAGTTGATGATTATTTTTTAAATATTCTAAGGGTATGAAACACTAACGTTATACGTGGATCTTTTAATTGAGGGAGAATGTATCAGAGGATTGGTAAATCGGTATTTTAAAGGTGCTAGGCATAATGTGCCTCAAGGGAATATGAAAGAAGTGAAGGAAAGTGTAGGGTAGAGGAAATTTAGTGTCACTTGTAAACAAAATTGTTTTTACCTTTTGACACCAAAATTGTTTGTCTTGCAGTTTCTGATTATTAAAAGGCTTCTGATGTAAACAGAAGCCGTTACTTTCAGACTTACGTGCTGCCAATCTATCTTTTTTAACGTAACCTAGACAGAACTGAAATTTCAATACTTTTGGCTTCCAAAAAGAAGCAGTGAAAGAAATGGCTGATAGTGTCTCTTAGTATTAATTCTTATTCATCAGTAACATATTGGTAAAATTAAAATATGATGTTACGGTCAGAGATCAGTTGGCAAAAAAATTCACACTGAAATCTTAGAAATTGGTTGGGCATTAGGAGTCCAAAGAGTCAACTAGATATTGAACCTCTGCTCTGGTTTTCTGTGCGCCTAAAGAAGAAGAGAGAGCTTGTTTAGATGCTTTCAAAAGTTTTATGAAGGAAAAAGGATTGACTTTCTTTCACTGAATGAGTTGAGATCTTAGTTTTCCCTGGATATTTTAGAGAGCCTCTGAAGCACAGATACAGTAATGTGCGAGAAATGTTTTTGTGACTGCAGAAGTCCTACAAACCATTTTCATTTTAAATGCTGTTCAATTTCTGGAGACAAACATTATCTCATTTCTAGGTAACTTAAATACCCTTTTTTTTTTTCTTTTTTAGCTAATTACCTATGGCTCTAATAGAGCTGAAGCACTGAGAAGAATGGAAGAGGCTTTGGACAATTATGTAATTCGAGGTAACTACAGAAATTTGGGTTCCTAGTGTGATAGGCTGCCATCTATTTCAAGAAAACAGCTTGAAAATGTAGTAATTAGCAAATTGAGTAAAGTTCCCGCTTCTTAAGTGCAAATTAAAACATGAAAAGCTTGTGTTAATTAAAGTGAGAAGATACATCAAATCTAAAGAGATGTCATTTTTTTTTCTACATTGTTTTTACTTGAATATTATGAGATAAATACTTAAATCGTTTCCTTAAACTCATAAAGAGTTTTGACAGAATGGTAGCATAGAATTCATTTATTATGTTGTAGAGGGGAAAAAAAGGCCACCGCATTGTAAGAAATTCGACGTAGTTGCCATTTTATAGCAGTTTAATACATTGATTGTGGTCAAGTAGTACCACAGCGCAGTATTTGATTGTGTATGTATTTTTTTTTCTTAATTTCAAGGTAATTGTTTAGGTTTGGACAAATACTGGTGTAGACTGATGATCAGAATGTGTTTCAGCTCTTGCTGACTGACTGCTTAGGAGAAGCAGCCCTTCTTTCAGCCTCCCCAAGCAGCAGGGGTGAATCAGCCATCACCACTTTAACTCCTTTCAAGTTTTAGAGAGCGAAGTCATGGTTTGTGTGGGAGAAATCTTTAGATCTTCCTCTGTGTCTTAGGGAAAATAGGAAGGACAACTCGGGATAGGAGAGGGAAAAATTGGATTTCTTATCCTTTCTTTTCATGGAGGTGATTAGAGAAGGGAACTGTAATGTGGCAAAAATCTTCATTTTACCCCTTAGCTGTGTGAGTGCTTGGGGGAGCTATTTTTTTCATTACTAGTCAGTATACGTGAAGGACCAGGGTAGGTGGGAAGGCAACTATCGGAGGGTTTGCTGTCTTCGTTCCTTGTTTCGGTTGCTGGACAGGTTGTTCTGTGGTTTCAGATGGGAGAAAGACTTGGAACACTTACTTAATTCCTCCCCTGAGTGGCTGGGAGGAGGAGCAGGAGAGGCCTCATACAGTAGACAATCATATGAGTGTTCCTGTAAAACTTGATTTGACTTTAATGCTATCTACTGAATACTACAGATGCCGTGTCAGACTCAAAAGATTTATCTATCTAGGGGTAAATGAACATCCCTCTACCACAGTGTAGCTAGATAGGTGGGTAGGATTAGCCGTTGTAAATGAACCGCTAACTCTAAAGTGGATTTATACTGGTGCAACTTGAGCCATTAGACTATTGCAGTACAATGTGCTGATGTAAACCCCTGCTATATAACAGCTGAGTAAATTTATACGAGAGAGAGATTTACACCGCTATAGCTAGACTGATGTGAAGTGGGGTTTGTTGGGTTTTTTTATCGTTGTTTTTAATGAAGACAGGCTCTGGATTCAAACTCAGTTCTATTAATAGTGAATGATGCTAGAAGGGTTATATTTAATGAGAATGCTGGAACTGTGTGTGGAGCATCGTTGTCCGTTGTGTGCTATAATATGGGATGGAACCTGATCGTTTGTTCTCAGGTGTTTTACACAGATGTGTATGTACCTAATAACAGTTCCACGGGTATATAAATACCTGCAAAGGTTATGACACTTTACGTCTGAAAACTACTGATTTGCATTCTTGATTTTTTTACAGTCTTTTATCAGTATGCATGTGTGCAATTTAAGTGTTCATACCTGATATCTCTAGCATGTCTACCTGTGAAGAAGCTCTTCATCTACTAAAAACATTGAAAGAGGTAATAAATGAACTAGTGGAGGGGAATGCCTTTTTTAAGTATTACAAAGGACAAATTCTAATTTACCACAGGTTTCAAAAGTAGATGAATTTCCAGAACACATTTTTGATTGTGGTGGCTAGTGGTTTCCATTTGAAAACCAACAGGATTTTTTAGGTAGTTCTACACAACTGGTCGTTTCTTCTCAGGGTTTATTTAAAATGGAACATTCATGGATATTAAAGTATCTCTTGCCTAGTGTGAATCATGCTCGATAGGGCAGTGCGTAGAAACTGTCCTACCTGTAATGCTCTGAACTGCACTGAGATGTGCAGAACTCCTCCTTGTTCAGAGGCGTTGTCTCTAACAAGTTCAAGTAAGCTTAGCAAGTGATGAAGTAGTACTCATATATTGGTATTTAATGGATTTAAATGGAAAAAAAATAGTAAAACGTCAGAAAAGTAAAAGCAATTTAATGCTTTCTTTTCTAAAACAATTGTGTATATTTTTGCTTTAAAATGTTGAGTGCTATGTAAAACAATATTAAACCACCTATGATCTTACGTGACAGTGCCTCACATGAAGTTCTCTCCATAATTGAGTTGTTATTAGTAATAAAAGATAACAGAAGAGTTTTTCACCTAGTTTTGAAGTTACTTGGTTTTACTTCTGAATAGTGAGCCTGTACTTAACTATTTCGAGATCGCCATAGTCTTCCTGAATAGTGCGCTCCATATTCTTATTTTTGAGCACAGCCCCCTCTGCCCCCTCCCTGCTTGGAAGCCTCTTTTTATGTTCACTTTGTGTTTTAGAGATGGTGTGTTTTCCCCTGTAAGTAACAACTCTCTTTTGAGTTACAAAGCATCTTAGCTAAGCAATACTGGCTGAAGTTGGTGTGAATTGTGCCGATAATATATACTGTGAGAATTTAGGTTTAGATTCCCAAGAATTGCCACATTTCTGTAAACAAAGATGCTTGTTCACTCACATAGGGTGGGAATGGGATAGGGTGACTGGGTAACGGGTCAAGGACCATCTAATGGGTAGCTTAGGGACTGCTAATGGAAGAAGGAGTCTTTCCCATCACTTCTGTGTCACCAGTTCAAAGCAGGCAAAAGTTGGTAAGGACTTTTAGTCACTAATATTTTGATGGTTGCTTGCTGACCTGCGTGAAATCAGCGGTCTTTATCCAGTTTCTAGAAGACAAATGTCCTCTTGGAACAAATGCCACCATCTAATGTCATCGCTGGCAGTCCTGGGGGAGAATCCAGGGACCGAAGCGGCCCAGTGACCTGCCGGGAGGTGACTGGTCCAGGCTGGGTTGAGGTACGCTGACGGTGTGAAGGGCAAGGACTTACTCGGCTGCTCCTCGTCTACTGGCTGTATGAGCACACGTTCCATTTCTGGTGCTGTGGCTGTAGGAAGGCCAAGGGTTACCCCGTTCCCTTTTAACTCCATTCCACTTACAGGGAACAAGTCCTCAGACAACAGTCCTTATTGACTTGTTTTCTAGGACTGCATAGTACCTGACCTTGAATCTGTGGTTCGTCTGTCCCTCCCAGTGAAATCTGCCTGACAACATCATGAAGGAAATTAAATTAAATGAGATTAAAAAATTTAATGTAATATTTGCAAAGAAAGCAGACTTATGCAAAATTTGAGTAAATAATATTTTAAGCGACCAAGATGGCATCATATAGTGCCTGTAATAGCAGTATCTTGATTATAAATGCTGAATAAATTGAACTGTGATATTTGCAACAATGCTGTGCTCTGAAAATGCCTAATGCCTTTACATTTTATTACAGTTTGGGCTGGTGACAACTTGCGCACGCTGAAATAAGAAATTCTACAGTCTGTTCGTTGGCAGATGCTAACGATGTGACTAACTCAAGGTACATTCAGTGTGGTCATGGGAATGTAATCTGCATCTTATTTCCTGCATAATATCTACATTGTTATTAACGGGAGCAGATGAAAGTCTAGGATAGCACTTCTTTGAGTGGTGGATTGGATTAAATGATCTCTTGAGGTCCTTTGCAGTCTAAATTATTCTGATAGGAACCGACTCCTCCATTGAGAACTGATCTGAATTCAAAATCTCACCTGAGACTTCAGAATGAGGAAGGGTCTAATTAGGTAACGTTTTTATCTGTGAGTCTTCCAGTATAGCTCAGGGATGATTAACGTTCAGGGTCTAACCCAGATTTGTCTCAAGCAGATACACTTCTCATTTTATCCCGTGGTTACTGGAGAATTTGTGAATACTGAAAAGTTCAAGGTGTCAGTCAAGCGTAGAAGCACTGTTGCTTGTCGGGATGGGGCATGAATGGTTTCCTGGGAGCATGCGCTCTTGATAGTAGTTCGTCTTTCCCTTGTTCTATGCTGGCTTTCTTCAGAAACTTAAGGCTTTGGTTTTCCAGTGTAATTTGAGCAACAGAAATAGGGTATTGAAAGAATGCCTTTCGGAGTGTCCACTGTGTGTTAACATGATGCGGTGTGATTTCCCTCTTCTCAGTTTCTCTAAGATTTCTAGCATGTGTTTGTCGTGTAATTCGTGATGTTGGATAATCTGTTCATTTAAAGGGAGTATATAAAACCCAGTATGAAGTTCTGGGAAGTTTATGTATGGAAATTGTTTTTATCTATTTAAATAAAAGAAATGGACATACTCATGCAGCAAATAGAACTGATTATCAGTTCCCCAGAGGTCTGATTGGGCAGATAGCTCATATCCTTGAGTGCAGAGATTCCTGTAATCTTTTCTTTGACCTCTGTTTGCTTTTTATCTTCCCCATGGATTCAAATATAAAGGAGTACCGTGAAATTAAGAGTCTTCGTGTAAAGCCAGCCGTTCTCAGTTGAGATCCTGCTTGCTGTGGGGAGCAAGGAATGTAGTAGGCCATTTGGGAGAAAGAAGATTGGAAAAAAAGGAGCATCTGAGGAAAGAGGAAACAGCAGATAAAGCAAGAAGGGATAGCAATGAGGGGGAAATAAGGGAGCCACCCCCTGCGGGGCTGTCGGGGGGCAGAATCTTCCAGCATGGGGTAAAAGAGCAAGCATAGAATAGAAAACAGAAAGGCGGTAAATAACTGTGGTGAATGTTTTGAGGAGAATGGGAATATAGAAGCTAAGGCTCTGATATGAATGGAGACCTGCCAGAACAGCGGCAGCAGAAAATGTTATCTTGGGTTTTTGCAACTGTGAACTCACTAACTGGGAGGAGAAAGTGCTGTGCTTAATGGTGTGGAGAAGACCTTGGCTTTCCAAGAAAAAGCACCCAACAAGAAAACCCCACTTT